TAGGGGTATGATTCTCGCTTAGGGTGCGAGAGGTCCCGGGTTCAAATCCCGGACGAGCCCTGAGGGTCAGGATGATAAAAGTTTTGAACAAGTTACAGCATCCTTGTAACTGAACACAGAAGCTTTCTTAAACCCACGCAACTTTCCACTGGTACTAAGCCTTAGTCGGAGTGTGGCTCGTTGGTACAGGGGTTACACCAACTGCTATTATTTATACCTCCCTCTTCCCTTACCCCGACCAGTCCAAGCAGATGTAGATGAAATATGTCACTATGCTGAACCATTTCCGACAGTGGAGGTAAAAAGGAGGTTCTTGCAGTTGGCTCGTTGGTCTAGGGGTATGATTCTCGCTTAGGGTGCGAGAGGTCCCGGGTTCAAATTCCGGACGAGCCCTGATGAAGCAGCTTTTAAACAAGTTACAGCATCCTTGTGACTGATCAGAGAAGCTTTCTTAAACCTGCACTACTTTCCACTGACCCAAATCCTTAGTCGGAAATGATACCAAGTATTATGTAGCTGGTTGGTTCGGGGTATGAGTCTGACTTTGGATGCAAGTGGTCTTGGGTTAAAAACCCCATTTGTAGATTGGAGATTTCAAAGAAACAACAGCACTACTTCCACAGAAACAAGCCATGTAACATAGATTTCACCTCCACAGTGAGAAATGCTTCAGCTTAGCAATATAGTTCATCTACATCTGCCTCGACTGGTTGGGGTGGGCGAGGGTAAAGGGAGGTAAAAGTGATAGCAGTTGGTGTCCTTTCCAAATAGGGTTCTGGGTCAGTGGAAAGTAGTGCAGGTCTAAGAAAGCTTCACTGATCGCATTTGAATTGTCTTCAAGGATGTTGTAATTTATTCAACAGTTTCATCATCCTGACCTTCAGGGCTCGTCCGGGATTTGAACCCGGGACCTCTCGCACCCAAAGCGAGAATCATACCCCTAGACCAACGAGCCACATGCAAAGGATTCATTTTCACCTCCACAGCTGGAAATGGTTCAGGTCAGCGACATATATCTTTCGTCAGTTTTCATCAAAGTGTCTATTTATTAAAATTAGAGGAAAGATCCCAAAAAACTGCTGAAAACAACAAACTTGTTAACATCTTGTGGGAATTAGCAAACAGTTGCTTTCAGATACGTGGAAGGAGTTCAGGTCTAAACAAGGTAAAATCATTTTGCTTGTGTTTGAACCACCTTTCTATCAGCTCACCAGTCTCATGTAGGTTGAAAAGTGTCCACACCTTGATATCAAGGGCTCGTCCGGGATTTGAACCCGGGACCTCTCGCACCCAAAGCGAGAATCATACCCCTAGACCAACGAGCCATACAAGCAGTTATACCTGCACCATTTCACAGCAGCAAGAAATGGTTCAGTTTAGCGACATGTTTTATCTTCATGTGCCTGGAGTGGTCGGGGTGAGGGAAAAGGGAGATATAAATGATAGCAGTCAGTGTCATTTTTAGACTAAGATTGACCCAGTCAGAAACCTGTTGCAACTTTTAAGGAAAAAACCATCCCCACAGACCAATGAACCATGTGAGACAAAAAAAAAATCACCTTCAAGGCCTGAAGTGGTTCCGTTTGGAAACATATTTCATGAATCTATAGATTTATATATCTATACATAAAATGATTTCTTTTGAGACTCTTGGATGACAGGAAAAGAACTTAACAAGTAGACATGTCAGGTAGAACCAGGTTTAAGGAAGACAGACATCTTCCTTGACTGGTCGGGGTTAGACTGACAACTTCTGAAGAAAAATGACAAGTTGCTTTCAAGTCTGTAAAAGAAGTAATGTAGTTTCTTTAAAGTCTTCAATCTACAAATGAGGTTTGAACCCAAGACCACTGGCACTCAAAGTGAGACTCATATCCCCTGTACCAACCAGCCACATAATAGTCAAGGTCAGTTCCAACGAAGGCTTTGGGTCAGTGGAACGAAGTGCAGGTGTAAGAAAGCTTCTTTGATCAGTCACAAGGATGCTGTAACTTGTTCAAAAGATCCTTCATCCTGACCCTCAGGGATCATCTGTGATTTGAACCAGGGACCTCTTGCTCCCAAAGCAAGAACCATACCCCTAGACCAATGAGCCAACTGCAAGAACCATCTTTTTACCTCCACCATCAGAAATTGTTCAGTGTAGAGACATTTTTCTGTTGTAACTGTTGTTTACATCAAAACTGTCGATCGGTTGTGATCTTGTGGCTGCTCTGGAACAAACTACAGCAATTTCTGTGACTGTACAGACCATTTAAATGCAAACGGTGGAATGATTTTATACCTTTTAGAAATGCATTACTCTAGCAGAAAGCAATTTAACATGTTGGCTTCAAACCTGAATGAAAGCGTTGCACACTTTTCCTAAAAATCGGCAGAAGTTTTCTGACTCCAACTTTAATCCTTTTCCCTCCCATGTCCCTTCGGCCCGACCACGCGAAGCAGATGTCTGTCCTCCATGAGCCTGTTTCTGCTGAAGGCTTCTTACTACTTAGAGTTTGTTTTTGTTTTTTTCCCCTTTTGTCTCCAAGTTTCAAACAGAGTTGGTACATTAGTTGGGTTTCCTTCCTTCCTTCCTGCAAAGACTTATGTTGTGATTTGTCACTACAAAAATGAAACTGAACTGAATTTCATTTATTTGTAGAAGTTTTCTTGTTTTTTTAAGGTGCTTTTCCTCCCATTAGAACTAAACTGTGCTTTTATTTCTATTCTTACAAATATCCTTTGCTGTGGTTTAATTTATATATTTTTTTAAAGCACATTAAAATGTACATATTATCTCTTTCCAACAAGAAACTAAGTTTGTTTTTGCATTACAGCAGCAATACTTAGAAAGTCATCACCAACACACTGAAGGTTAAACATCATCTAAACCTCCTTCACGCTGCGTTGCTTCCTACGGACTCAGTGGAGGTCACCTTACAGGTAAGTCTGTGTGTAATGACGCTGTTTACATCTTAACCAGAAACACCTGCAGGACATTAATAACTGAGAAAACAAAAGCAGAAACTAAACACACCTTCGTGCAACACCAGACACGCTTTATTACGAACAGAAGGTCTGAAAATACAACACAAAGGCTGGTAATTCTGCAATATTTCAGCTTTCACAGAGAAAAATGTTGAATCAGTGGAAGAACATTTCACACATGACTCCTCGCTGAATGGATCGGTGTATTTCCTGGCATGGCAGCGATTTCTCAGTCGACCCTGCGACGCTAAATCGTCCGTGTCGGGTTTAATAGTCGGTGTAATGAGTCTTGTTTGACTTGTTCCTTCAGGCTTTTCCTACAAGGTCAAATATAAAAGCAGCTCTGCAGCGAGGCCTCATTCATTCACCTGGAACCCAGCATGGCTCCATCGCCCTGACAGGTGCAGGCTAAATCAGAAGTAATTGGTTTATTGATTTAGAATAACTCTGCTCTGATGGAGTTGCCGGTGGACGGCGGCGACGGCTCTCACCTGTCTGCGTACAGGAAGCCGACACCTGGAGGGTTCGATGAATCTGCTTTCTACCAGCGTTACAGCGACGGATCCGGTGTTTTAAGCGGCTACGAGACTCTGGACGCGCCACCGCACTATGACTTCTACGCCAACACCGAGGTCTGGGGTCGACGGCGGCGATTCAGACCGTCGTTGTACCAGCTGCACGCCAACCCAGAGGTGAGGAAGCTCCAAAAATCGCACTTTTGATGTCGTTAAAGTTAGAAAAATCCAAAAGAGGAATCACTGAAATGTTGGTTTAATAATTAAACATCCAAAAAAAGGTGCATTTGAGGCAGAAATTTCCATTTTAAGGGGGAAAAGTACATTTAAATACAGTTTCAACCAACAGATATCACAATAAAATTCTTAGTTTGTTGCTTAAATTAACATTACAATCATTTCTTGTGTTAGATATTTTCAGACATTTTGTGTTGATGAGGTATTATCGATCAAAATATGGACTCATTTGGATGGATTTCTAAAAAATAAACTAATAAATACTTTGGATATCTGTTGTAATCTCTCCTAAATCACACATTTTATGAATAAACTGTTCTAAAAATCAGGTTGTGAATGTTAAACGAATAAAGTTCTCAGTAAAAACCTTCAGAATATCAACAGAAATAGAGTTTAATGGATGTAAGTGTTGCTGAATTACAGATTTCTGGATCAATGTAGACAAAAAAAATCACTTTGGCCTTTAAAGTTATGCATGAAAACCAAATTCCAGTAAAATGCTCATTTTCACAACATTAAAATATGAAATTAACAATAAAAGAATTTTAAAAATGTGCGTTTTTTTTCCTGTAATTTACATTTTTAAAGTTTTTTCTTCTGTCATCAAACAAATTTATTACTTACAATTACTTAGCTGGCTTTTGTATGACAAGTTTTTACAGATATTTGCAATTACTAGAATCAAAAATGGTGCATATTGAAGGACTTCAAATTATTTTTCAACTGTTATTACAGATATTTAGTAAAAAAAATCAAATTTAAAAAATATTAATTTACATAGTGACTGAAAAAAACTGTAAATCAATAATCTGCATTTTTATAAATTATAAATTGCACATGTAATTTGTTTTTTTTTTTTACAACATTTAACCGTAAAATTACGGACACTCATTTTTACTGCATTTAAATCCACTAAACACAGAATTAATTTACAGATATGTGCTGCTATTTTCACCACTTCCATAGTTTTTGAATGTTTGTCTTCCTTTTTGTTCCTTTGCTGAGAGATTTTTATCTTTTTTTTCACTGTATTTTGTATTTACAGCTGAAATTAAAGAATTTAATCAGTTTTTATTAGAAAACTACTCAAATTGATGAACTGATTTTCTAAACCAACAGATTAATCGTCGCAGCTCTTCTTTTGAAATCACTGGAAATCAGGGCTTTTAGTCGTCGGAGCAGCTTCCTGTACAGGTGGTTAATCTTTTTCGGTACACTTTGAGCTGTTTAAGTAAAACTCATCTTCGGTATCTCGACCAGGACGACTCCAGACCCCCCATGTACGAGGAGACCACAGCTGGACCGACGGACGGAGGAGGATCATCGGAGGACGAGGAGCTGAAGGAGCCTCAGCCTGAGCCCACTCGGTTCGGCTGGGTGCAGGGCGTCATGGTGGGTTACACCTCTGGGGAACATCTGTAGATCGTAGTACGTTTACGACAGATGTCTGACTGAGCTGTTTGCAGATCCGCTGCATGCTGAACATCTGGGGGGTGATTCTGTACCTGAGGCTGCCGTGGATCACAGCGCAGGCCGGAATCGGTACGTCCAACAGTCAGCCTTCGTTTTAATCCGCTGTAGACGATTTAGAATCTCCGTCAGACAGCTCTGTGGTGTTCTGCCCTTCAGGTCTGACCTGGGTCATCGTCCTGCTGTCCTCCTGCATCACTGGGATCACCAGTTTGTCCACGTCAGCCATCGCCACCAACGGCAAAGTCAAATCAGGTTTGTTTGCTCGCTAAAACTACATGCTTTTATTTTGAAGTCCTGATCGAATCACAACGTCTCAGATTCTGTTCAGACTTTATTAACTTGTTATGTAGGTCCCAAACTAAGTTCTGTAAAATATTTTGGCTCCATTTAGAAAATTCTACGTGTTGTCAGACTGGAATTTTACTATCACTACCCTCAAAAAAAAACATTTTAAAGGTTCAGTATCTCCAGAAATAAAACTCCAACAGCCATGAAATGTGGTGAAAACTCAGACAGGATAGTTTCCATCAGATCAGGATGATTGAATGGATCCAACAGAGGACACAGTTTTAATTATTGGATCTTAAACAGTCATCAGTAGAACCTGATGTGGTGAAGTTTCCAGTAAAATGTCTCAAAATTCTCCAAAAGTGATTCAAACACATCAAAAATTAATCCAAAAAGAAGTTAAAATTGTCAAAAAAAAATTCTCCAAAACGGACTTTAAATGGTCTAAAATTACTCTAAATTGTCCAAAATGTTAATAATGAACAAGTATTGGTCACTGAAAACAGAAGAAAGTGCACGTTTCCCAGTCGAGGCTGGTGTTGAGCCCCAGAAAGTTTTTTTGAGGGTGAAAATATAAAAGTTCCAGGTTTGTGAACGTATGAAATTATTTAAAATTCAGCCCAAGTATTTTCCAGAACTCAGTTTTTGGGTCAGTGACTCCTGTTCCTGCCTTCAGGTGGGACCTACTTCCTGATCAGTCGGAGTCTCGGTCCGGAGCTCGGCGGCTCCATCGGTCTGATCTTTGCCTTCGCCAACGCCGTCGCCGTGGCGATGCACACCGTGGGCTTCGCTGAGACGGTTTCAGACCTCATGAGTGTGAGTGACAAGAAAGTTCTACCTTCAGACTGTGAATGTTCCAGAGTTCCAGAACCTTGAAGTCCACAGAGGAGGGTCCAGATTTATCACCTTAATGGACTTTTTCCATCATTTCTGAGCCTCAGAACTTCATCAGTACAGCAGATAGACACATGACATTTAGGAGGAAGAACACATCTGGGTTCTGCTAGAACCTGACACCAGATCAGCTCTACATCCATCCAGGTGTCGCAGTCTGAACACTGAACATTTGGATGAATTTGAGTAACTTTGGATCATTTTTGTGTAACTTTTGAACAGCTTTCACGTCACTTTGAACTATTTTTGGAGTAATTTTGGACAATTTTCACCTCATTTTAAACAATCTGAATCATTTGGGACTATGTTCTGTAATTCTGGACAACTTTCATGTCAGTTTTTTAAATTTTTGATGGATGAAAAACACATTTGAGTTCTGTTAAAAACTACAAACCAGATCAGTTGTACGTCCAGCCAGGTGTCACAGACACATGGGACACATTTCAAGTCTTTTAGACAAATATGAGGAATTTTGAGCAACTTGGGAAAACAATGTTGTGTCATTTTAGACGACTTTAGTGCAATTTGATCAATTTATAATGAAGTACACGTTTGAGTTCTACTTTAAATACCCGACTTCAGACTCAGCGTACCTGCCGACTCAGCTCTCTGGTCTTATTCTCTGTGAACGGCTGAACTTCCTCCTCAGGAGCACGGAGCCGTCATGGTGGACAGAATCAACGACATCCGAATCATCGGCATCGTCACCGTCACCTGTCTGCTGGGCATCTCCATGGCAGGGATGGCCTGGGAGTCAAAGGTCCAGTCAACACAACAACAACAAACACAACAACAGCAAACACAACAGCAAACAGAACGTCATGCAACAGAACAACAACAAACACAACAACAGCAAACAGAACGTCAACAAACAGAAAAACAAGAAACAGAACAACAACAAACAGAACAAAAACAACCAGAACAACAAACAGAACAACAACAAACAGAACAACAACAACCAGAACAGAACAACTGAACAACAAACACAACAACAAACAGAACAACAACAACAAACACAACAACAACCAGAACAACAAACACAACAACAAACACAACAACAACAACAAACACAACAACAACCAGAACAACAAACACAACAACAACAAACAGAACAACAACAACCAGAACAGAACAACAGAACAACAAACACAACAACAACAACAAACACAACAACAAACACAACAACAAACACAACAGCAAACAGAACAACAAACAGAACAATAAACAGAACAACAACAAACAGAACAACAAACACAACAACAACAAACAGAGATCGTTTCATTCGTGTTCAGAGTCAGAGCGATCAGCCCGTTAGCTTCTGTCAGCATGAAGACTGGAAGCAAAGAAAAACCACAAACAGGCAGTAAATTAAATTATCGCCACATGTTGCAGTTAAAATAGCAAGAAAAATATGCAGAAAAAAAACACTGAAAAACATTATAAAATTTAAATGTCTGAAAAACTAATAAAATCTTCCATAAACATTAAACAATCATCATCGTAAAATATCTGAAAAAATGTAAACGTTCCCTCAATATTAAACATCCAAAAAGTTCCAATTACACGTGATTTAAAAAAAAAAAAATCTAAAAAACACAAAAAATGTCCAAAAACATTATTTAGGGGTCTCAAAATGTCATTATTCATTTATAATATTAATAAAGTGTTCCAGAAATGCTCCACAAATGTATGAAAATGCCCTAAAAACACTAAATATTTAAAATTAAATATCAGAAAAATATCCCAAAAATATGAAAGAAAACAAAATGAAGTGAGGAAAATATTAACAGTGTTCCTAAAGTGTGAACAAAAAAGTCTCTAAAAGTAATAAAATGGCCCAAAATTATTGTTTTAATATTAATATTCATAGAAAATAAATACTAAATGTTAATAAAGTTTGTAAAGATGTACTAAAATTGTCTTTACATTTATTTTCCACTTGATTTACTAAATTAGAAAAATAGTTAGTTATAAAATAGTTTATTATGTTTGTTTGAAGCATCCGGGCTGCAGCTAATGATTATTTTTAATGATGTTTTTGCCATTTTGTCTCTAAAACAGTGAAAAAAGTGGATCAGAGTTTCTTTAAACGTCTTCAGTTTACCGTCGTAGAGGAAAAAAAACAGAAAATATTCACACTGAAGAAGCTAAAATCACAGAATTCTGACTTTTTATCCTTGTAAACAAACCAGGCGTTAGACTATTCAAGGTGTTGGTGACTAACCTTGTGCAGCTCCTGTGTTTGTTTCCTGCTGTTTCAGGATCCAGGAGTCGCTCTAACGGTGAGAATCCGCCTCCATCTTTGTGTTTAAAGCGTATTTTCCCTCCTCAGGCCCAGATTCTGTTCTTCCTCGTCATCATGGTGTCATTTGCTAATTACATAGTTGGAACCATCATCCCTGCGTCAGCCGACAAGCAGGCCAAAGGCTTCTTCAGCTACAGAGGTGACAGACTCGTCGTCCTTCCTGGCACCGCTTCGGTGGCGTCTAATTACTGGGAGTCAGTCTTCAGTTCTCACCGATGCGTCTGCTTCACCTCCAACAGCCGACATCTTCGCTGCCAACTTCGTCCCCGGCTGGCGAGGACCCGAGGGCAGCTTCTTCGGGATGTTTTCCATCTTCTTCCCCTCGGCCACCGGCATCCTGGCAGGAGCCAACATCTCCGGAGACCTGAAGGTCAAAAACATCCTGACGCTACAGAAACACATCCAGGGTACCAGCGATGGCTTCAATGAGTCTAAGACGTTAAACGGCTGCAGCCTGACTGTTCACAACATGAGACATCCCATAATACTGATGCTACCAGCTGGTTACAGAGGAAATGAACAGGAAACAGATTCAGTCTTTAGATTGTGACACCTGGATGGATGCAGAACTGATCCAGGTTTTGACTCACTGCTGTTTAAGTAGTTAAAGGTGTAACTGAACATACTGAAAAGCACTGGTACCCTGGATGTTCAGCATAACAAGAACATTGTCCCAAATTACTC